AAGTGTTGAAATGTGGTCCTACCGTGCAAGAGGACGTATTCGGGATACTTACGCGTTTTAGAAAACACCAATACGTCGTAACATCCGACGTTGAAAAAATGTTTCGTCAAGTACGCGTTTCAGAGGATGATTGGAACCTGCAACGGATTTTGTGGAGACAAAATCCGAAAGAGCAGTTACGTACTTATCAATTGACGACTGTGACTTATGGAACGACACCAGCGTCGTTTTTGGCTACACAATGCCTAGTTGCTTTGGCAGAAGAAGTGAAGGAACAATACCCCGAAGCGTCAACGTCCATTCTTCGTGACTTTTATATGGACGACTTAATGACAGGCGCGGACAGTGTGGAAGACTGTTGTAGAATTCAGAAAGAGGTAAACTCTATCCTTGATTCTGCAAAAATGCCGCTGAGAAAGTGGTGTTCAAACTCCCAAGATATAATTGAACAAATGGGTAAACGTGAAGGTGATACGTTGTTCACACTTGAGATAGGAGACGGAGAAATAGTGAAATCTTTAGGACTGGAATGGAAGCCACTGTTAGATCAATTCTTTTTTACTATATCTCCCACTTTACAACCGAAATGTTTAACTAAGCGAGTGATATTATCAGATCTTAATAAGATTTTTGATCCTCTTGGGTTTTTGACACCCGTGCTGATAAAAGGTAAAATTTTTCTGCAACAGATGTGGGCAGAGAAAATGGATTGGGATAAACCGTTGCCAATAGCCATGCAAACAAAATGGAGCGCCTTCTACCAAAGTTTAGGCCAGTTGAAGGTACTAGAAATTCCAAGGAAAGCGATTCCAAGTCTGTCGAAGGACATCGAAGTCCATGGTTTCTGCGACGCCTCGGAAGAAGCGTACGGCGCGTGAATCTATGTACGTTCAATAGATGCCAACGGAATATGGAGTTCGAGACTCTTATGTTCGAAAACCCGTGTAGCACCATTGAAAGGAACCACCATCCCACGCTTAGAGCTGAATGGGGCGCTGTTACTTGCTGAATTAGTCAACAAAGTGTCAGAGTCGTGGGGCTTTCAGTTGGGAAGTTGTCAATTATGGACTGATTCGATCGTAGTCTTGAGTTGGATAAACAGTCAGCAAACCAGATTAAAATCTTACGTTCTAAATCGAATATCACAAATTTTGGAATTAACTGATGCGAACCAGTGGCACCACGTACGTACAGCCGATAACCCTGCTGATGTTATTTCCCGTGGCATAAGTGCCAAGGAACTGTTGAGAGCAGATCTCTGGTGGTATGGACCAAGATGGATGTCAGATCAAAAAAGCCAATGGAATGCGTCAGAAGTACAGTTAATCGAGGATGAAGAGATCCCGGAACAACGGACAGTAAAACTTGCATTAGTGATTTCTCTACCATTAACCAAGCTCTTCGATGCTTTCTCGAACTGGCACAAATTAGTACGCTCAGTAGCATGGCTCTTACGATTCATAAGGTATATGAAGCTAAAAAAAACTATTGAATATCCAAAGCATTTATTAGTTTCCGAGTTACAAGGCGCTAAAGTCGCTGTGATCAAATGGGTTCAGAGAGAGTCGTTTTACGAGGAGTTTAAATCATTAGAATCTAATAAGGAACTACTTCGAAGAAGCAAAATCAAGAATTTGCAGCCATTCATAAAGGACGGTCTAATCTATGTCGGTGGACGTTTAGAGTATTCCAACATATCTGAACAGCAAAAACATCCTTTAATACTACCAGCGACCCACAAAATAACGCGCTTAATATTTGAAGATCGGCACCGAGAATTACTGCACTGTGGACCACAGGCTTTGTTGGCTGAAATAAGAAGAATGTATTGGCCACTGAGAGGACGAATAATGGCACGTTCAGTAACATCACGTTGTGTTCAGTGTGTAAAGGCAAGACCTAAGTTTTTGTTACCACTCATGGCCCCATTACCAAAGGATCGAGTACAATGCTCTCGGCCTTTTGCTATCGCTGGGGTAGATTTCGCTGGTCCGATTGTTATCAGAAGTGGAATCCGGCGAGTAACCGGCATCAAGGCCTGGATTGCTGTTTTTGTGTGCTTTTCGACTAGGGCAGTTCACTTAGAGGCTGTGGAAGACCTAACAAGCGCTGCATTCGTAGCTTGCTTACGTCGATTTATGTCAAGGCGTGGAAAATGTAAGAGAATTTATAGCGATAATGGTACCAATTTTGTTGGGGCGCAAAAAGAGCTCACTGCATACATGGAAAAAATTGATAAGCGAATGGAAGGAGAAGGAATCGAATGGAGATTCAACCCCCCCTCAGCTCCTCATTTTGGAGGGCTTTGGGAGAATGCTGTGAAAAGCACAAAATTTCATCTCGCAAGGATAATGAAGGAAACATGGCTCACCTTAGGAGAACTCAGCACGTTATTATGCCAGATAGAGGCATGTGTAAACTCAAGACCAATGACACCCCTGAGTAGCGACCCGTCTGATTTAGAAGCACTAACACCAGCGCACTTTTTAATTGGTGGGCCCATGTTCCTACCACCTGAAAATGATCTCACAGAAGCCGAGCCAAAGGGTGTACGGCGTTGGAAAAGGGTACAATATCTGATGCAAACATTCTGGAAACGATGGGAGAATGAGTACCTGCCACAGTGTCAAGTGCGCGGTAAGTGGTTATGCCGAACGAGACCAATGCAGATAAATGACGTAGTGATAATAAGAAGAGAAAGTAATCATCCAACCAAATGGAATTTAGGAAGAGTCATCCAGCTTCATCCGGGTAAGGATGGAGTTATTCGAGTTGTAACTCTACGCACGGCAAGTGGAGTAGAAATGCGTCGACCAACAGTGAAACTATGTTGCCTTCCAGTGCATGATGATGACTCAAGTGTTGAAAAATCAGATTTTCAACGGGGGGAGGATGTCGACGCCAGATAAGATTTTTATTTGGATGTCTAAGTGCCGCCGCACCACTATACCGCTCAACACGGTGTAGGTCAGCGACCGATATTTGTTTTGTTAAATTCACACACACACACACACGCACATCTCCTATCTGTTACCTGTTTGTTCCTATATTTATATTATTGTTTTTATTTATGCTTTAATTATCCGTATCACCTGTGAATTAATATATAATATGTAAATTAACGCCGCCGCCTCTCCGGCTGCGCGATTATTAGTATTTTAGCACGGCCGCCGTAAATGTGCCTGTTCATTCGCACACCGCTGTCATCAAGACGAAAAATTTATCGTTGAGTGTGCCGGTCGCCGTAT